CATTTCTTCTGGTTATTCAAAGTACCATATATATAATTGGGTTAAAACAGAACAGGAAGATTTAATATATCATAATAATTATACAAATATGGAAATACGGGAAGGAAATCGACAGTAAAAACATCGCTTGATTTAAGCTATTTTTATAAACATTTTGAAATAAACTCTTGTCAATTTTATTGTGAGCACCATTTGATGGAGATGAAGATGTATTTATGAAATATTTTGGTAATGAATGGTAAATAATTTGGCTAACATACACTGATACCACTAAACAATGTAGCCGGAAAATGGAGGCTGATATTTATATTGTGACGTTTAATTTTTCAGAGTTTATCCTAAAGAGGTCTAAAACAAAGACGAATATGTTGATGATAAGATTTTAAAACCATATAAATTTTGTAGCACTCTTCAAAAGTGGGTGTTACTTTTAGATATTAACATACAATGAATATCATGATAGAAATGGTACCCTAATAATATCCTTCAAAATCATTTTTAATCATAATAAAGTCTCTCTAAGTGATTAATTTTTAAGTCCTTTCTGATTTCGGAAGCATGCGCATGTATTCTTAAATAAGGTTTGGCATTAAATAAGATATAAATTAACCTGGGGTTACAACCCACTTGAATAATCTAATTGAAATAAACAAAATTTCAATAATAATATTAAGGCAATTTACAGAATAAATTTGTAAAAGAAGGACATGTACACATATTTTGCAGAACACTTAATAATAGGATAAAAACAAAATGCTAAAAAAAAATACCAAGAAAACTTCAGAAATAACTTTTCAAATAGCTAATGCGATCAAGAATATCTTAATATTGTTTGATTTCACTTGAATTGTCAAACTGCAGTCATTTATCCACGTCACTTCCGCTTTCGAGACATCTGATGTCGGTGACGTGTCGTGTTTTGATGTCAATCCTCTTCATCTTGGATAATACTATCCTATACCTAAAAGATATACAAAGGAACAGAAAATAATACTATCCTATACCTAAAAGATATACAAAGGAACAGAAAAATAATACTATCCTATACCTGAAAGATATACAAAGGAACAGAAAATAATACTATCATATACCTAGAAAATAGGCAAAGGAACAGAAAAATAAGAACGCAATTGGATATTTAAGTTGAAAATTGACTGTAATATTTACAATTCAAATATATGTTTAAAACGTTTGTAATTCTAAATGACAATTCTTCAAAAGTAATAATGATTTAATTACAAAGAGGAATGGGTGATGAAATATACACAACAAAACTCCTGACTGGAAGAATAAACAGTTTATGAGATTTCGATGTACAAAAATTTATAAAACTTTTTGCCTTGAAATGTAAATTAGATATTACCCATATAGAAAAATTAGCAACATCCAAAGTAAAATTTTGTCGACAATTAACATATATAAAATATGAAAATTTTTTTGGAAAAAAAAGATCTACCTCTAGGGTCAAAATCAAAAGATTTAAATTTTGTGTAATCAGAGGATGAAGGTCTTGTTATGAGGAATGTGAAAATGAAAGCTTAAGCGCTTTTAAATTTATAGTTTTGGCTAAAATTTAAGTATTTCAAAAGTTAGTTAAACTCTAAGGTGAAACACAGAGGGTAAGAATTGTTGATATCTAAAGAATTTTTTTTGTCCCATATAATATAAATTGGAAATATGAAAGCCCTCATACTAACTACAGGGTATTCAAAAGTAAACACCAAGGTCAAAGATTTCATAAAAGTTTACCAAACTCGTACATCATTGTTAAAGCGTCTAAATTGTTTGTATTAAAGTAACAGTTTTGACACAAGAAGTACATCTTTGAAAGTCCTAGCATTAGTGGTTAAATAAAGTGAGACTGTTTCTTACAAGGAGTCCCGGATGTTAATCAGTACCGTGGCCCTGTTATTCTTTCTGTAATTTGTATCGATCTTTTGACTCATTTCTTTCGGGAAGTTTCGCCAATGGCCATCCTCGTCTTTGAATTGCCAAATATCGTTAGCAGCAAAATCGGTTTCCAATTCACCATCATAATTTTTATCAATAGTTGCGGAATTTCCATGCGAGCGAGAAATGTCTGAATCATCACATTTTGAAATTGCACTTGGACTTGTAGTTGAAGGAGATGAAGTTGGTTCCTTCACAAAGGCATCTCTTCCAGTAGGACAGTTGCATTCGGCATTCTTAGATTTCCCATCAGTTGCTTAAATAAAAACTGAATGATTATTTAAAAACTAACTTTCTCTTTATTTCAGATAAGAACAAGAAGGAAATTAAATACAACGAGTTTTAAGTAAAATATGCTTTGCAGACAACCCTTTTGTAGAAGGCAAATCAAGCGTTAAAAAGAATTTTTAAAAATTACTTTTCAAATTGTTGATTTCTCTTTCTGTTTTAGATGACAGCATTTCAGCAGCTGCAACTTTTTGTTGTTGCAATCTCTTGACTACATCCGGGTGAAATGGGTCGCTAAAAAAATTAGATACTCATGATCCACAAAGCTTACCTAAATTACTTATGGTCCTGCTGTTCTACACAGCAATTTTGTTTCCGAAAAAAAAATCTTGATTCTATTTAAAAATTGACATCACAATATAGACATTTATCAAACCTTAAGGGAATTACAATTTATTCAAAGTTGAACTTTCTAATGTAGTTTCAACCAAATCTCTGGCGTCTGATCTAAAAATGTATCCAAGCTAACCGAAAATCCAAGCTAACCGAAATTGTTTGGTCTTATCCTATTCGGCCAATTATTAGCATCTATTTGTGTATACAAAATAGATGCCTTTATTTTACGAGAAAAGTATATTTGAATGGACCTATAAACTAGTTTATAGGTCCCAAGTATTTGTTATTTGAACGTTGGCTTTTAGGGGTCGGGTTCGGTTGACACATCAAGTGTAGTATATAAAAGGTCGGGTTTGATCTTCACATTCCTTTCTCCTGAACCTTTCGAAGGTAAAGACGCATAACAATTGCTGGCAATAAAATACATGAAATTTTGTTTTGTAACTTTAAAATTTGTATGATTTTTCATTTATACATTGTTCTCAACCATTTTAACGCTGTTATTACTATTGATGTGCATTAATTATGACGGATGAGATTGGATTCAAACACTTGACAAAGCAGACGACGCGCACGCGGTTATACTAAAAATCGTTTACTTATACCTTTGTATTGTTTTACAATGATGTAATGTTGGTTATTAACATTAATAACTCTCTTTTTGTTTCATACTGCTTCGAAACCCGGCAAAAGCAAACTAGAATAGGCCCTATGCATGTGAACAACAATAAGGAAACTCGGTCGGAGCTTCTCGTGGACATGGACCCAAATACAAGACTACAAGTCAAAGAAAGGCATTGAAAATTATCTTCAAATCGTTTGGAAAACCAGACATTGAAATAAGAATAATCACAGATTAACAGTCCAGTATATCAGGTACATCAATCACCTTTGTATTGCATTAATTAGTTGAGTGTGTATACATGTATACTTGAATTGTCTGTTCCACTGTAGATTGACACCAAATTATACGCAATGTCTGCCAGCATAGCTTTTGATGTTGCTTCTATAACTATTTGTTTAAGAAATGTTAACTTTCAAGATTAGAGGGGGAAAATGACTTTGAAAAAGAATTTTAAAAGAGAAGAGGGGGGCTAACTGGAAAAATCTAAGTACCAGAAATCAAGTAGCAAACAAAATGAAATTAAATATAACAACCAGTAAATCCTACAAATTAGGTTGCAATAAAATAATCTCCCAAAAATAGCTGCAGATCTACATTCAAATCATAAAATTTTACATTGATATCTCTTAAAATAAGGACTTGCAGTTGCCTGAAATTTGTTTAAAACTATGGTCAAAATAACCCAATAGATTGTTTTGATATGCTCTTGTAAACTAATGTTAGGTGCAGATAATGCAGCAGCTTAATTTTTTCATATGTAACATAAGAAGAATGTTTCAGACCCATTGCACATTTTCATTAAATTTCTATTTGTGAGATTATATTCAATTTTTCTTTTATAGATATTCAGGTATGTAATGTAAACAGTTGCAATGTTTTGTTTGATTGATTGGTGAGTCTTTTAAATCCAAGGAATATTATGCATTACATAAAGCATGGCTAAGAACTATTTGGCTTAAGGCATTATCTAAAATATGGCTCAGAACAATAAGGCATTATTATTGATTTCACTGATATGGAGACGTCACCATTGCCGGTGAAGGGCTGCAAATTTAGGCCTATGCTCGGCACTCATGGCCATTGAGCAGGGAGGGATCTTTATCGTGCCACACATGCTGCGACACGGGGCCTCGGTTTATACGGTCTCATCCGAAGGACCGCCCCATTTAGTCGCCTTTTACGACAAGCAAGGGGGTACTGAGGACCTATTCTAACCCGGATCCCCATGGGGCATTATGATAATATGGCTGAAAACTACTAGGCATGACGTACAACATGGCTCAACCTGGCTCAGAACTATTATTAGGCATTACTTACAACATGGCTCAGAATTATTAGGCATTACTTACAGCATGACTCAGAACTGTTAAGCATTTCAACATGGCTCAAAACTATTAGGCATTAATGCCTACATTTTTCAGGCTGACATAGTATATATCTCAAGTTTGTGATGAATGTAAATAAAAAGGAGAATGAAGTACATATCTTTTTCCAGAGTAGTTTTGTGATAAATATTTAAATGCACCTAATTTTCCTAGAGTTTATTTCTTTGTATTCATGAAATATTACTATCTAATGTTGTGAAAGCCCTTGATATTTATAAGGCAAGTGATAAGATCAATTGCATATCATAAATTTTATAGATTTACACTGAAATTGGGCATCCTACTCATTATAGTTGACTTCAAGAAGAAAAGAGATCTAAATTTGGGGTCGGGGAGCAATGATCCTCTGGAAAATGCCTTTCTCAAGTCTGTATTTGTTGGAGCTTTCTGGTCATTGATTGTATTTTCTAGTTATTCAATTGGAAACAAAATGATCATTGAAATATAGTAATACAAAGGTGAAAATGAGAAAGGGGGGGGGGGGCATCTTCATTGTTAAACAACATAATGTATCAATTCATATTAATTCTTGAATGAAAAGGAAAATACAAATTACTTATATATAACCATAAACCATCCATTGCCTAAGACTGGAATTACTAGGATAGTTTTGTTTTGATCCAATAAAGTGGAAATGAAAGGTTGGAAATTGCAATATGTAATCCAAGAAATGTCAAGAATGTTTTGTAATCATTTATAAATAAATATATTATGGTTTTTAATAATTAAAGCAAAAAAGGAATAGTCAAATCTCATTTTCTTAAACGTTTGGGATTAGGAAAAGCTTTCAGTAGAGATATTGGATATTTGAGATGTAGGTAGACATGACCTTCCAGATCAGTTCAGGTTACTTAAGATAACAGTGTTAAAAATACCAAGTTGAATTACAATTACTTCTAGAATCCAAGTTAACTTATAATAAATGCAACAGAATGTATGTTGCAAATAAACTTATTTAAACTATTTGGTTATATTTACACACAAGAAGTGACACAATTAAGCAAGTTCCTTAAATCCCTAACAATGTATCAATTAATTTTCAAAAGAGTTCTCACAGAAAGTTTATATGTTTTTGGATTTTTATACAGATTGCTCAACCTTGAATGTGCATTTGACTTCATTTTTAAGATGTTTGGGCTATTAAAGTTCCTCACAGGGTGCTTTTATTTTGTAACTCTGTTCTTATTATGCGGACTTTAAAACTTAGGACTGCGCATTGTCCCTTGGGCTTGCATTTACATGTAAAATGAATTTCACTTGGTGTATGATTTTTAATCAAAATACTATTAAGAAGGATCCAGCACATATTGATAGCAGTACATGTAATACGTGTATTCAGGCTCATTGCATATAATAAATAAATAAATAAATAAAATAAAATAAAATATTTCCATTTGATGTAATTAATAATCAAACATCTATACCTTTAAGAATTTTAGACTTTGCTTTGCATTTTGGGCTACACAATGGAAGAATGTGGTCATATAGAGCGGTAGAGCTCAGATGCACATACATGTATCACAGGCATTAATAATGTTTATTGAAAGAATCTATATAAGAGGGAAGGGACTTAGTCAATTAGCACATAAATAAGATTAGTCAAGTACACAAGTATTGTAACCATCACTATATAGTGTTGTACCTTCTTGTAATTGAATATGATTAAGAATTTCAAATTGCTCTGCTTCAATTGGCTAATTAGAGAGTGAATGAGTCGTCTTCGGAGATATAAAATTTGGTTTTTTTCAACAGCAGGACATGGCTTTCCTAGCAATTTTTAAACAGGAATTATGATATAGGTAGTTCTCTTGAGTGAAACTCCCAATATTTGGTTTAAAAAAAAAAAAAAAAAAAAAAACCCAGATCTTTAATTTTGATTAACTACAACTATTTACATCTAACTTGCGTTGAATAATGGAGAAACGTAAAATTATGGTGGAAAGAGCATTGCAAGGTTGCTCAGACATTTAGAAGGAATTAATAGACAGGTAAGTTTCTACAAGACAAAGCTTTATTAGGCATTGAGGAACTAGGTGAGATACATCACATTTGGTAAGATTTGATTGCCTTATGTGTTGTAAAACCTTTTCTAAATTAAGGGAAATTCAAAATACTTTAAGTCTGCTGAAGGATATGCACATCTAGGAATCAGGATGTGTGCAAGGATCTAGCTGGGAAGGGGGGTCTTGGCAGTATTGGTCGTGGTCCAGTTGACTTGCTTTGCTTCCCCCCAATGTGTGGGGTGACTGCAAGCTGTGCCAACTTGCAGCCATGTGGCGTCTGCGCACACCAAGTCAACTGATAACTGAATGTTTGTGTGAAACTTGTAATAAACTGTCACCTTGTTGAAATGCTAATGCTAGTGTAAACTAAGCTAATAAGCTTACTCTTGGTGACAGTAATATATACTTTAGAACTGTACTACATCGTACAGGTTTGAAATATGAAAAATGTTGATATTTGAAGTTTGAGATGTTTGATCTATGAAGTTTGAGATATTAATGATATATGATATACAAGATTTGATAAAATAAGTTGATATGCTTGATATTTGGAATTTGAGATATGACTTATTGATTGATTGAATGAATGATTGATTGATTGATTGATTTGAACAGTTTGTATGTGTGCTGACCCTCCGCGGTTAACCCGGGACGGTTAGAAAAAAGAAACACACATTGTTGATGTTTGAATTTGGTGGGTTCGCCCAATTGAAATGGCGTCCCACAATTTTGTACTGTGCCACGGCCAATACTCGCCACAATAAATAAATATAAATTTTATATTGAGTTTTGTGTCAATTTTCTCTGTATAAATAATAGCATCTATTTGTGTATACAAAATAGATGCCTTTATTTTACGAGAAAAGTATATTTGAATGGACCTATAAACTAGTTTATAGGTCCCAAGTATTTGTTATTTGAACGTTGGCTTTTAGGGGTCGGGTTCGGTTGACACATCAAGTGTAGTATATAAAAGGTCGGGTTTGATCTTCACATTCCTTTCTCCTGAACCTTTCGAAGGTAAAGACGCATAACAATTGCTGGCAATAAAATACATGAAATTTTGTTTTGTAACTTTAAAAACCCGCCCTCCCACTACCTTATTTTTAGAATGTTCCATTTTCTCTAAGTAAAGAAGGATATTCTGCTGCTTGGTTTTTTGCTTTATTTTGCAGTGAAACAGATTTGATCTGCTTGCCGAGATGAATACCTTATACCCATAGAAAAAATATCCTGGTGATGTCTAAGGAGAAGTTAAAGTGAAGAATCTACCACATGATGCCCACATCAAGTCCATTGCCAGCTTCAAGGATTGTGCTAAACATGCGCTAAATTGTCTCTGTGCATTATCCGTACCGAATAGTGTTGCAAAATTGTGAAACTTTCTATCGTTTATAAAATCAAATTGGTAGCATATAGTTGGTCATAGGATTGATATTTTAAACTAAAAGAAACTGTCGTGGCACTTTTTCAAGGAGAAGTCATTAGTGTGAAGCGTCTGCGCACACCAAGTCAACTGATAACTGAATGTTTGTGTGAAACTTGTAATAAACTGTCACCTTGTTGAAATGCTAATGCTAGTGTAAACTAAGCTAATAAGCTTACTCTTGGTGACAGTAATATATACTTTAGAACTGTACTACATCGTACAGGTTTGAAATATGAAAAATGTTGATATTTGAAGTTTGAGATGTTTGATCTATGAAGTTTGAGATATTAATGATATATGATATACAAGATTTGATAAAATAAGTTGATATGCTTGATATTTGGAATTTGAGATATGACTTATTGATTGATTGAATGAATGATTGATTGATTGATTGATTTGAACAGTTTGTATGTGTGCTGACCCTCCGCGGTTAACCCGGGACGGTTAGAAAAAAGAAACACACATTGTTGATGTTTGAATTTGGTGGGTTCGCCCAATTGAAATGGCGTCCCACAATTTTGTACTGTGCCACGGCCAATACTCGCCACAATAAATAAATATAAATTTTATATTGAGTTTTGTGTCAATTTTCTCTGTATAAATAATGGTATTTTTAAGCCGATTCAAATGGATATGGCCAAATTTTGAAGGCCACCTAGTTTGCCAATTTATGTATGTTGTGTCTTACAGTCACATACTGGGAGACCAATTTGCTATTGCATAATTGTTTAATAATTTTTTTCAGGAAATGTATTTCAATGTTACATTGTCCCCAGTCTTTCTATTCAGTTTTATGTATTGTATCAAATGTTGTCATTTCATCATAAATGACATTTTGTGGAAAAAACATGTCTTGTTATTCAAAATAAAAACAAGCTCAATGTTGTTAGAGGAGTATTTAATTTAAAAAATGAACGCTGAACTTAATGGGTTTTTTTAAAAGAGGTCGAAAATCTGAAAAAGTTTATAGACTGACAGACACCGAACAAAATCTAATCAGAAAAGCCCAGTAGCTTTTAGCAAAACGAGCTGAGAAAAGAAAACAAATTAACATCTGTGAGAGTATCAAAGATAAGGATGCTGTTGAATCATTTTCTTTTCACCCTGTAGACAATGACTTTGTAAGTAAATGCATTAACAAATTGGGCTTGAAAAAAGCTACTGGAATTGATGGTATTTCGGCTAAAATTGTTAAACTTAGCCATGAACATATATTGAACCATGTGACCAATATTGTAAATTTTTGTTTTTCTAAAAATGTTTTTCCAGATCGTATGAAAATTGCACAAGTGGTTCCACTTCACAAGAAGCAAAGTATTTTGGAAAAAGGAAACTATAGACCAGTTAGCATTTTACCTACATTGTCAAAGATTTTTGAAAGGGTTATTCATAGTCAATTGTCTGATTTTTTCAATTGCCATTTTAATGATATGTTATCAGCTTTTAGACCAGGGTATGGTTGTCAGAGTGTGTTGCTAAAGATTGTTGGGGATTGGAAGTATGCCCTTGATCATAAAAAATATACAGCAGCAATTATGATGGATTTATCTAAAGCATTTGATTGTATTCCACATGATCTAGTTTTAGCAAAACTTAATGCATACGGTTTTACAAATGCAGGTACTAGTCTTATCTCAAGCTACTTAAGCAATCGAAAACAGTGTGTAAAACTGGGGGAAGTTTGTAGCGATTTTTTAGAATTGTACAAAGGTGTTCCACAGGGTTCAATACTTGGTCCTGTTATTTTTAATATTTTTATCAATGATATTTTTCATTTTGTGTCAGATTGTGATCTCTACAACTATGCCGATGATAACACTCTCTCAAACTCAAGTGACGATATTACATCACTAAAAAATACTTTGGAATCAAATTGTTCGAACTTAGTTAAGTGGTTTGGAGATAATCAAATGCAAGCAAATCCCGATAAATTTCAAGCTATATGTCTTGGAAAGAAAACTAAACAGGAAAACATTTGTTTTGAAATTGATGGTAATATGATTCATCCGGAAAACGAAGTAAAATTACTTGGTGTTACTATAGATTTTGAGCTTAAGTTTAGCTCTCATATTTCAAACATTTGTAAAAAAGCTTCACAACAATTAAATGTACTTAAAAGAATAGGGGTACACCTGACCAAATTAGGAAAACTAACTATTTATCATACATTTATCATGTCAAACTTCAACTACTGCCCATTAGTTTGGCATTTTTGTGGTGAACGAGAAACAAGAAAAATGGAAAAAATACAGGAAAGAGCACTGCGGTTTGTTTATGATGACTACAAAAATTCGTATAGTTATCTTCTGGACAAATCAAAATTACCATGCCTCAAACTCAGGCGTATTAGAACATTGGCCATAGAATGTTTTAAGATTTTAAACAAGCAAAGCCCGTCTTACCTGCACGATTTTATTCATATTAAAGAAACACCTTATTCTTTTAGATACACAAAAACTGCTGTTTTACCAAAAACAAGATCAACAACATATGGGTTGAAGTCTTTTAGATATGAGTCTGCAAAACTTTGGAATTCTTTACCAGAATCTTTTAGAAATATTACTTCTTTTAACCAGTTTAAATCCAACATAAATAGTTGGTACGGAAATTGTTGTAATTGCTGTGCCTGTCGCTAATTTTATTTTTTAGAAACTAGTAAACAGGGTTTAAGTTATTTTAGGTTTGTCAGTTTTAATGTGGTGAATAATATGTCATTGTAAAGCACCACGGAGGAATAGTGATATTTTAGTAGTGTGATATCGATGTAATATTTAAAAACTGTTTCTTGTTTATTATGTATGATTGTTGTATTTTATGTAACATTATTATGTAGTCGGAAAATAGCTCTTCAGAGCTAATGTTCTTTGTTGATGTACCCGACTTTAAATAAATATTATCTTATCTTATCTTATCTTAACATCAAAATCAATAATTAAAAAAGAATAGAGAGTATACTTCACAACTTTAATGAAAAAACACGTACCAAAGTTGAACATCAAATTTACCATCAAAACCAAATCTGTAATTACTTTTATTGGAATTTGGCCATCTTACCTGAAATATTGATAAATGAATTCAAAATTCATCGATAGCCATGAAATGTATCAGATTTCATAATGTAAATTACTGCTGATTAAATCAATGCTTAAAAATAATTACGTAAACAATGGCGTTGCGTTTCACTTTATATACGACACCAATATTTCCTTTTCCGCCATCTTGATCTCCCCAATTCCAGTCATCACCTTTCCACAAACAATTATGAATGAGTAATTAACTTATATCAATGAAAATAACTATGTTTAATTAAGGTGAAAGAAATATAATAAGTTGATAAAAATATTTTTGTCAAACGAAAAGAACAATGCAAAGTTTTTACCTCTTTCAACAAGACAGCCTACAGCAATAAGGTCGTTGTGTAGAATTCTAGGTTCATCACATTCAACCAGGTCAAAGTTTTCAAAGAGGCCATTGCTACCATATCGGTATGGATAACTTGACCCTACATCCCATACCACGCGTAACCAACCACCTTAGAAGAGATAATATCAAGTAATTAACGGAGCTGTCATTTTGTAAAACATGCATTTGAAAACTGGAGTTTGAAGTTAACACATGCTTGATCTAATGGAGTTAAATAAAAAAAGAAAATACAATAATGTGTTTTTCATGAAAGGGTTCGAAAACGTAAAAATACATTTGAAAGAATCATCAGCAATATACCTTTTTTCAATGCTACTTCGTGCCCTTTTCCTCCTGATATATATTTTGTTAATTTCCATGTACTTGTTTTGAACTTTGTCATTTTACCCTGCTCATCAAAATTATACACGTTGCACTCTTGGTTCATTGTCATAGGCGTCGGAACCGGGGGTGGGTGGGCTAGGGGGGCTTAGCCCCCCACCTCTTTTTTGCAAAATATATAGGCATTAAAAATTGGGATTGACCTTATTTTTTGGTGTAGCCCCCCTCCCCCACTTTCGATTACCCCCCCCCCCCACACACACACACTACTTTCAATTTGCTTCCTACGCCCATGATTGTGAAATATTGGACACAAAGTAGTCGGTAGAGAAATGAATTTATCTAGAAGATTTTTTGTAATTGGTCATTTTCAAACTTTCTGTACAAACAATTTCTTCAACAAGGCAAGCCACTGACAGGCAAGTTGATGAAACAAAGATGCCATCAGTTTTGTTAATAATCATACTTTCTCAAGTTCTTTGGTTATGTTTTAATGTATATACTCATGTAAAATTAATTTTTCTGTTAGTAGAATTGTTTGTTTTAAAATATTGTTAAGTTTGCATGTAAAAAGATTGATTGATTGACTGTTATTTAACGTCCCTCTTGAGAATTTTTCACTAATATGGAGACGTCACCGTATGCCAGTGAAGGTCTTAATATTTAGACCTAATATACTCGGCACTCAGGGCCATTGAACAGTAAGGGTTCTTTAATGTGCCAACAGGACCTACGTTTGTAAGGTCATATCCGAAAGTTATATGTTACAAATATAAGTTATGTGTTTTAAAAACAAATAACAGATCACGGACCGTGACAGTCCTGGCGTTCAATATATACTTACGTTTTCCGTTGTCGTTGTGATTAACAACAGTGCCCGGTCCGTGACAGTCCTGGTCCCCCCACCGCCAGTCTGGTCCACGCCGAACCCTTGTTCCTATGGGAAGCATCTCTGGGTTAATTTCACAATTTTCATCCTCATCATCTTCTTCATCGTCTTCTCCATGTCTGTGTTTGTATGCTCCTCTTTCATTTATAATTTCTAAAACGTCATCCTGGAAAGTAACAAAATTTCAATGGACTAGAAAACTAACCCTAAACCTTATTTAACACCATATACAGAATCTATCGTTTAATTGTATTTGATATTTACCTTATCCTCCTCTGTTAATTGATTGATTAATCCAGTAGAAGTCATGGCTTGTTCTAAATCTCCATGAGAAAAATCGTCCGTTCGTATATTTTGTAAAAGCTCAGCTGCTTTTTTCTGAAATTACAATTTACTAAGCAGTATTAATACATATCAAATATGTTTTCATAATTTTTAAATTCTGCTTTCCAATTTTGTTAGGGAGGTTGATTCTTAATTTCAACTGAATAAATTTTGATAAAAATTTAATTTATTTGACAGTGGGAGAGGGCATTACATATTGCTGAACATTTCATTTCTTCTTCACTGACCATGTTGACATGAAATCTTCCATATTGCCTGGCTTGTTGAGGCTGTATAAGTTTACCTCCCCTCGATGTGTACGCAATTGATCCTAAGAGACACTATACAAAAACAACTTTAATTAAGGAAAGAAGAAATACTACGTATTATTATACTTCTGTTAAAATGTTTCCTACATAAAGTTCAGAAGGTAAAATAGCTATCTTTTATAGTTCATGCATAGCAAAGCTATACCCCGGGGTATAGTTTTTACTATCCACCCTCGGAAAATTTTCATGCAATCTTTGCCTCCAATTTTGATTTCCAGCGATAAATCTATTGACTGATGATGTCATAATGACTTCAGTAGCATTGTGACGTCATCAGGATTTCAGATTATTCTTGCAGTATTATCTTACTCCAACAAAATTCAAACCTCAAAAATTATATTATACATCAGTATAATAAAACGCTTATCCACTGTTTGTGAATGGGATAGCTCTTTTATCAAACCCTTGACAGGAACTATTCCCCTCGGGCAAGCCCTCGGGGAATAGTTCCCTGTTGCGGGTTTGATAAAAGAGCTATCCCACTCACAACCAGTGGATAAGTGTATACTGTAAAAGGTTCCCTGAGTCACTCAGAGGTTTGCCACCATGCATAGTTTGTCTGTCCAAAACTTTTGAAATTTTTAATTTCATTAATCCGAGATTTTAGTGCTAGGCGAGGGATCTATTTTTAATCTAATTTTATAAATCTTTATTTCAGTTTTCTTATCAACGTATGATTTGCAGTCGGTGGTATGTAGAGAGAACGAGCAGTTTTCAAGCTCAAAGTCAGTACTAATGGAAAAGAGCAAACACAACCCTAAAACACTGGATGTAGGCTCACTTGCCACGGAGGAGAGAGCATCCCTTGCCGACCAGTCACACCCGCCGTGTATTACGTATTTGACTTAATGATAGGTTGTACTTGCTGATAAGGTTACTTGTGCAAAGCTTTGTTCTTTTCTTTATAAATATCACAAATATGCAACAGATGTTTCAGACTTCGTGTTGTACTTAGTAATTTATTTCAAGCTCGAGGGGATATAACAAGTCGACATATGTATGGAAATAACTATTGTTGTTGTTGTTGTTGTTTTTGATAGAACGTTGTCGATATATCGAAATGTCGAAATGATGGCAAATGTTTTCAATATAAGTTTTGTAATTGATATGGCAGTTTTATATAAAATATATACATGTCCAGTATTTTTAATATTAAAAAAATGAAGTTTTTGAGGGTCATGTAGATTTTTAAATAAAAGATAAATAAACATTAGACAAAGATACCAGAAATTTAATGTTTTGGCAATTAAAGATCTATATTCCAGTATTATCATCTGACTTACAAAATCGGGATCCTCTCCCACAGGGATACAGTTTAAAGATATGCCTCGTCCAATATCTCCAATAAGGTTCATTAAAGATTTCCTTGTCTGTAATAAGTAAAAAAAATATATATATAGATTTTTAGCAAAGATTTTTCTAGCACCGAATTATCTAAATGAGAAATTTAATAGGAATAATAATGCTACTTGGGGAGCATCCAATTTTAATTATCATGTACCCAGGGTTGGAGCATACAATGATTCAAATTTTCATTATCAAGCCATTTTAAACTGGAATTCTCTTACATTGGAAGTAAAAACTATAGCCAACAGAGTTAGTTTTAAATCTGCTGTCAAGTTGCATCTTACAGAAGAAGCTCGAAGGAGGGAAGAAAGTAAAAAATAATTTGTATTAACTTGAAAATGTGAATATATAGATATATGTCAAATTATTTTATTCAGGCTAGGAAAATTATCTAATCCTCAATTTTATTTTTTATTTTTTGTCTATGCTGTCTTAGTCATATATAATTAACTTGTACCATCTTAGGAACCCATTGGAAATAAGCATGTTTTATATATTACCTTCATGGGTTATCCTAGGCAAAGATTGATAAGAAAATATGTTAATTTGTGTTGCATGTGATAAGATCTGGTTGTGAGATCAGTATAAATCTGTGATAATGATAATTGTGATAATACCTGAAGTGATATTGTTTTTAATGTGATAGCTACATGTATGTGCTAGGACTTTTAAGCGATCCCTAATTGATTTATGAATGAAATTTGTATTATGATTTGTAATGAAGTTGACTCTTTTCCTGAATAAACGTAATGATAATAATTCCTTTTGTATTTGCAGAAAATTGTCTTGTTAGACATTATCCAGACATGGTATGATTCATTCAATTATTAGAAACTAATGAGATTTTTATTTAATTGAAGAGGATTCAGATATCAGGTAAACCTCTACTGGGTCCATAAGATCTTCGTCCTCATCTCCCCCTATCATGTTAGAAGTCGTAGGTTTACCATCGGTAATCAGTACTAGCTTAGCTCTTACTTGGAACATTCCTATCCCTGTATTATATCCTGAAAAAATAATAATTAAAACTGTATACAGGGAAATTTTCGTCCCCGTTTTATCTCGCCCCTTTCGCCCTTGTCACGAGTGGGCGAATTTAAAACGTGGCGAATTCACAGAATAAATTCTTAAAGAGAACTGGGACTTGGCGAATTTAAAGCGGGGCCAATTTGTAAAGCAAGTGTAAAAGGGCGAAAATAACACGGGGCAAAAATAACCCCGTATACAGTAACTGATTACAATTTGTGACCATCTGTTTTCTTAACTGGAGCTTCATTTAGGAAACTTTATTCACAAATAGATTCCACCTTTAATATCAAAAACAGAAACCTTTGCTTACCTCCACCAAAAGCCAACCCCGACAGACAGAGAGTAATGGCCGCCTGAATGGGAGAGGCACCCCGACAGACCACGTCATCTAGCATCGTCAAGCATTGTTTAATGGATAAATAATGTTAAACAACCATAACATGTATATACAATAAAACAAAAATCATGCAATTAGTCAAGTTTTTATCGACCCAAATGTACGAAACTGAGAAGAAAAGAAATAAATTAGCGGCAACAACATTGTTTACCTAGACATCTTTTCAGCGATTGGTAGTTATTGGAGTAATAATGACGAAACTTGACTTCCTCTCCAAATGTAACCACGGCAACAGATTCATCCATGTGGCGTTTGGCGTATTCTTTGTAAAGAAAAGTTAAAACGTTCAGTCCGTATATTTTTAAGATTTATATTTATTTGAAATTCTGTGCTTCTATGTTTGATTTTAAAGCTTTACCGTCTATGATGTCAATAAAAGCCGCCTTCATCTGTTGGAAAGCTTCTCCAGCCATACTTCCTGACGTATCTAAAGCAAACATCACACATGGTCCCTCTCCTTGCTGGTATTTTAATTTCGCATCTAAAAATAATTTTTGAATGTTAAGTGACATTAAGTTTACTTATTATTAACTGTTCATGAGACATCTTTATGTCAATTTGAAGGCCCTAGCACGTGTTGTTTTTTTTTCTTCTCATGTAAAAATTATTAGATTTAATTCTGCTTCATAAAAATAAAAAAAAACAGGTTGGCTTTTAAAGGAGCATAACGAAGGATGCTCATCGAAATTTAACTTGTGTCTTACTTTTTGTAAGTGAGGACTCCCTGTATCCTTTTCAAATATCAATATCAAAGAACTTGTCTGTTTTATTTCGTTATTTTGTTCATGACCAATCGAAAATTACGAAAATGTCAGAATTCAGTTTTCTTAAAGAAGCATTTGTCTAGAATATCTAGCCTTTTTTGGATTTACCGTAAGGAATGATTGTATATGATGTAAAAAAAAGTACGTTTTGATGTTATAAACTTTTGATAATTTTTTGCTATTTTTTATTTTCTTAAAAAGTTCTTCGGAATTTTTAGAAACTCCATATTTTATTCCCATTACTTCTAGAAAATGGTGAAGCACAGAATGTCTAAAGTTTCCTCTTACAGCAGTTTATATACTATGAGTAGTTAAAATAAGGGCTTTGTAGAACATTTACTAGAACCGGCACCGTATGTCTTTTAAAAGAATTTTAATGAAGTTTCGGAATCCAGTATAGAAGGATAGATTAAACTTACCTCGCTTATTTGGAATATCAAAAGTACTAATAGTAATCACTAAATCGTGATTTCAAAGAATTTCATTTTTAGAAAGTGAACTGTGAGCATAAATTTGATTCCTAGACGGAAAATTCAAAAGTTTTTTTTCTAAAATTAAATCGAATGCTGACCGACGTTTTTCAAACTAACTGTTAATCCATTGTTTATACATGAACACTGAATTGACGACGGATTTTTCTGTTTTTTCCTGATCATGACAAGGAGCACACGACGGATGTGACCAGTCGGTAGGGGATACTCATTCCTCAATGGCACCTGGTCCCACCTCTGATGTTTTGGAGGTCCGTGTTTGTTCTACTCCTATGTATTGTTTTATGGACTTTTAATCTTGAATACTGTTCCTTATCTCCATATGTTTCATACAGATATAGTAAAAAAAGCATATGGTTTGTGTAGTATTTTTTCAAATTCTTTTTTCTCCTCCAATTTAATGAAAACAGAAGGATAGGTTATTCGATTATTGCATTTAAAATCTCATGCACAATCCTTAAAGAAAGTGATGCAAACAATGTCTTGAACTATGTTTTTTATGTTTTCTAAAAGAATGTTTTCTTTAAGTTGGAATGAATTGAATTCATTTTGAATTATATTTCTTTGTAATGTTTCAGACTGTGTTACAATAGACGTCACGAAAAAAACCGAACGCACAACCTGCCTTTTTATAGTTCAAAACCAACAGAAACACTGACTGCTCAATGTTACTTAGTCATATGAAGACGATCGAGAATACTTACTTTCCACGGCTTCTTCGTGAGCACGATTTACCCAGTAATTGTCATCAACAAATTTGGCCATAGCTGAAGTACTTCTCGCAAAAATCTTCAAACACAGAAGTTTTCTTTGTTTACTGCAGTATCTCAAAAGAGAATCAATGCCTTTACTTCCTTATCATTTCTATCAACTTTTATTGTAATGGAATTCTTCCTGTAAATCTATTATTGCTGTTCCAAAATTAGTTTCAATTCAATGAAATTTACATACAGGATGGATTAATAAAAATCCCAATATTTCTGTTGAATTCACTCCAAAATGAAAATAAAGTATGAAATATATTATTGAAATAATTATTAATATTCTTGAGGTTCCTTGTATATGTGAATTTCAAAATGGATTTATAAAATAAGAATAAGAAAAAAGTTTAAGTTTTTATTGAGTTTATAGTAAGTAAATCGTCCAGGTACGAAGATGTTACTTGTCTTTTATAATTTCTAGTTAGTGAATAAATATCTAGCCGACATATGAAATATATAGTATTCAAATTCAAAAATCCATTCAAACAATACTATTTAAGAGCAGAGCAAACAGGGACCTCTTATTCGTCAAAGAAGGGATCAGTTGCCATGGAAAAGTGAGTATCCCCTGTCAACAGGTCACATCTATCTTGTTCTCTCAAATGATCAGGAATGGAAAAATCAAATTCAGAAATATTTTTCCCACGTTAAATAATTCTGTATAAATCTTCATTCATATAAAAACCTCTGCTAGTAAAGGGACACAATATGTGATAGTCAATTTTCCCTTTCAATTTGTTTAAAAAATATTTTTAAAAATACCCTGAATATGTACTCAAAATTACGTACTTTTTAAAAAAAAATTCAAATTCTATACCACCCGTATATTTTTTCATTGCTTTCAAAGGAAGATCTAACAGGTTTATTAAATCTTTTAGCCAGTAAGATTAAGATTATTACCTATAGCTTGTTCTAGAGAGGTCCATTCTTAATCGGTCTCAGAAAGTTTGTCAAACACTCTCTTTCATTTTAAAGTAGGAGATATGGAGTTGCCTAGTTGTTCTCATACAGGTTAGTGATAGTTGAATTATGATAATAGCATCTCAAAAACTACATAGTACCAAAATATCGTTGTCAATCAGAAACTTAAGTACTTTTTTGATATGAACTTTGGAGTACTGATGTTTGGAATCTTTTATTAACAAATTAATTTTGCAATTGATCATTGACAAGGTAAATGAATTTTAAGTGTTGAAAAGTCATGCGTTTTAAGGATACTGATTTTGATAGAAACTAAGATTTTACATGAAGGATATGGAGAAAACGAAGAGTATTCCAAATCAAAAGTCCACAAAACAATACAAAGTAGGAGAGAGCAAACACGGACCTCCAAAACATCAGAGGTCGGATCAGGTGCCGTAGAGGAGTGAGCATCCCATGCCGACCAGTCACACCCGCAGTGTGCTCCTTGCCATAATCGGGAAATAACGGAAAAATCCGTCGTCAATTAAGTGTATAAAAGATGGCGTTAACAATTAGTATGAAATATTCAGTCAGCATTTGACTCAATGATAAAATTGTATTTGCTGACAAAGACATTGTATCAACCATAGAACCTACGAATGATGACTTTAAACGAGGCTGCTAATATTCTTGTTTCATCAACCTGCTTGTCAATAATTTACCTCGTTTTAGATGTTATTAATACGTAGAGCACGCTCTTGCGTATCGATTCAACTGAGAGATATACACTCCGTATGCAGGTGATGAAGGTATATTACTGCATAAGTAAGGGAAGATGACGATAGAAAAGATCAAGTCATCCCATTTATCATAGAGCTTGGTTGTTAGCTTACAATTAAAGTCTTTTTCAAGTAAAATATCCAAGTATGAAACAGATGTGTCAGACTCTGTGGTATCTTTTATCTCAAGCTCACCAGGATATCTCATATCGACATAGAAATGGAAATTACCATCATTAATTGACAATAAGTCGTGGATATATCTAAATATCGAGTTGAAGGCCTTAGCAAGTGTTTTCTTCTTTTCACGCATAAGATTTGGCATAAATATGAATACAAAAATAGGTCTGCTAATAACGGAGTGCAATTGGTACCCATGGGAATTCCATTAGATTGTTGGAAACTTGGTATCCAAGAATTACATAGATATTATCAATCAGAAACTCAAACACCTTTTGATGTCAACTTTAGAGTACTTGTGTGTGCAATCAGAATGTGTTTTAACAAAATAATTCTGCAAATGACCAATGACCAGGTAAGTATTTTTTTTGAATTCCAAATGTTTATTACAAAAGCAGCTGTCAATGATATCAAAATGTCTGTACTTTAATTCATCGTGGGGAGTGCTTGTGTATACGATTGAAAAGTCGTAAGTTATTAAGCTGTTGATTTTGGTAAAATATTGTGATTTCAAATTCTCCAAAGGTTTTTTGGAATTTTTGAGTTTGCACACCTGATTTACACCACTTCTTGAATATATTGTTGCACATTTGATTTGCACCACTTTTCCAATTGTTGTGGTACCGTACAAAGTGATTTATTGAATGTTGTTTTACATCCTGTTGGAGAATCTTACACTCATAAAGAGGCGTCACCGCCTTCAAATCGACATTCAGACAAATCGACGACCTTTCATCAATTTACAAATTTGTTTTTTAATCATATGGCAAATTGAATGGACTTGAAAATAAGATAACTCAGTGTCTGCCACATTTATGTCGTATATGGGTGTTTTAATGACTAGGAACGATAAGGTTCTTTTTCAAGTCAGCACGTACTGCGACACGGAGCCTCAGTAATAACGGTCTCATTCCCAGTCTCCCCTTCCCACAGTAGATTCAAACCAATCACGTAAGGACGAACGTGCATCTTTGATCTAAGACATAAAAATCCTGTGTGGAAAAAAAAAATTATGTAGCGTTTGTTCACAAACTTAACAAAACAATTTCGTAGTAAAGGCCTGAAAATAAAAGTATTTATTGCAAATTCACACAACCAGTTTGATTTTTTATACATCCCGAAAAGTCTTATAGTGATTTGAAATTGCCACCATCGTCAAATGTATTTTCAACATGTAAAATTACACTAGTATCTAGTTTTTTTTAAATAAAATATTTCCTCTGTATGTATATTTAAAATGACAATTATTCCAAATCGGCTGCCAAGGAATATATCGGATGATATTTAAAGAACAAGCCTAACATTCGCTGAAGCAGCATAACATTTTTAGCTAATAAAATTTAACTACTGTATTGAAAAACTTTGAAAATACCTTTGAAATTTAACAACTTATGAGAATTTGGACACCTCTTTTAAGATTTAACAATATTCAACTCTTCTGTCAAATAAAGGAAAATAGATTTGTCTGAACTTAAATTAGGAGTAACACATCCAATACACTAGATGTAAGAGAACAGACTAAGACTAAAAAGAATGCACCTTTTTTTCCTGATAAGCAAATAAATTGCGCCCAAGAACATGAAATAATGCTTCCTCCTCTCGTTACTCGTAGTTCTTTGATTACCATTTATAAATCTATGACCTTTAAGAGAGTATTTTTTATTTAATTATTTCAACATCCTTCCTGTATTTTTGTGCCAGTTTTATCAAATAATCCAAAAATTTCCTGTTTGTTGGTGTTTAGATTTCCACTAAATAACACCAAAACAATTGTGATTTTGTTTTGGACTCTGATATTTCACTCCTGCCGATCTTAGTAAAAGTAACATAGAATTTCTTTCAGGACATGGACACTAGTATGCATGAAGCTTTGCTGCTCTCGGACACGGAGATAGAAGCTGAAACACGTGCGTCAGTTGAATATTTTTATAGACCCTATGTTTTCAATATAATCATTCATATTTTTAAAATTGCCTATATATAGTATTGAAAATATCGTTTATTTTTCTAAAGAAAATAACATCAATACGTGCACTTGATACAGACATTCCCCGCGATAAATTAAAAACAAGGCTTTATCAAGTCTGCTTCTTCGATGTTGTAGCAATTGCTTCTTCAATAAAAAAGGGAAATCTGTGATTTTAAAACTTAAAAAAAAATCAATCTGATTCTACAAAAAAGTATTCTGTAAAAAAAAAAAAAGGATGTTGAACTTGCTCATTGACAACATTTATGTAGTTTTCGGTGACCCAAATTGTGCTCTTTATTTACTAACCTGTTTTATTAGATAGGCAGAGTGCAGTTTTTGTTTTAGTTTTGTCGTATGTTGCATTAGCTTGGTTTCCCAACAGTTTGTACTTCTAGAAATATGTTGTTATTTTGAGTTTTTTTTAATTTTGCATTGGAGTTACTGTGTAATTGTTATTCCTTTTTTATTCTTTAATTCCAAATCTAACCAATAGATTCAAATTTCATTTGTGATGTTTATGGTCGTATAACCTTTTGTGTAGATAACGAAAGGAGTATTACAACTTCACAGCCAGGGACGCAGGTAAAATGTTTCTAATATTTGTTACTCAACATTTTACAATATTAAATCCACTGAATGAAATTCAAAATGACCTTTACTATTTGTTTAAAGCACATCAATGAACGTTTTGAAATAGGAGCAAATTAAATAAGCTTTTTTTTTCAAATTTATCACATTTACTTTTTTTTTTTAATCTGTATGTATGATACCTTATATGAAGATAGAGCAAAAATTAGACTTCGCACCAAAAATCAATGTGTAATATAATGGATTGGATCGTGGATATTGGTCTGGATAACTCAGAGCACCTAACAAGT